AAGAAGCCTGCGTCTTCTTTACAGACGTCTTACTGCCGCCACAAGAATAGTTATTCTCACATCTTTTGTTGGCGTTGTGCTGTTCAATACCTTAATGATTAAAGACTTATGTGTTCATAGAGTCACGGAATGCTGGGGGTTTGGTTAGGTATGCTGGGATGAAGGTTGGACTAGATGATCTTCAGAGGTCCCTTCCAACCCCTAACATTCTGTGATTCTGTGATTCTGTGACCTCTAGAGATCACCCAGTCCAACCCCCTGCCAGAGCAGGATCCCCCAGGGCAGCCACACAGGAACGTGTCCAGAAAGGCTCCAGAGCAGGAGACTCCACACCCTCTCTGGGCAGCCTGGGCCAGGGCTCCGGCACCCGCACAGGGAAGAAGTTTCTCCTCATGTTGAGTTGGAACTTCCTGTGTTCTATCTTGTCCTATTACTGGGCACCACTGTGAAGAGACTGGCACCTTCCTGTTGACCCCCACTCCTCATTAATAAGATGTCCTCTCAGCCTTCTCTGCTCAAGACTGTTACTGCTTTTTTTTCTTTCATTGGAAGGTACTAGCCGAGGAGGAGGAGGATGGGATACTTCTAACTCAAGATACGCTAATGTTATACAGCCATCTGCCTTTAAGTCTAATACATGGGGTGGCAGTGGAGATCATGGAAGAGGATTTCTTGGCTCCTTGGCATCTGGGTCCTCAGGCAACAGAAATGCAGACTTTTCGCAGAACCGATTCTCTGTGTTAACGAGCAGTCCAAATGTTGCTGACAGCCATAAAGATGAAGAGGAAAGACTTCTGTAAGTTCTATTGCTGTCTCACTGAAAGCATTTAGAATTAGCAGTTCAAAGGCTTACTGACTTTCTAGAAGTAATCTAGAAGACACGATCATGAAGAAGAAGCTGGAATGTGTAGGAAGAACCACAGAAGACACTGCTTTGCTTCGTTCTCCTGAGTTAAGCTGGCCTGGGAAGAAAGTGATCTTTGTTTTGAATCTGGATTGGGCAGCTAGATGAGTGTTATACGAGTAAGACGGAGTGGTATTTACGTTGTGGGCAAGAGGATAAGGAAGAAAATAAAGATTTCATTTCTTGCAAATAAGGGGTCACAACTCCTTGGGCAGCATTTCAACCACTGAAAACCAAAAAACAACTCTTTCAGAAAAATAACTTTGACTTAGTTTTCCTGACATTTAAGATAACAGATTGGTCTGCCGGTAGCAGAACTATTGAGACCGGGTTTCATGTTCGTGCTTGTTAAGAGTCAGTTGAGAGTGATGAGCAGGTTCAGGGTGATTCCAGGGCAGGAGAGGAGAAGCAACAGGCAGTGGAATTTCCTGGAGCAGCAAGGTTTTGGAACCACTTTCCATTACTTTTTTTAAGATTACTTTAAGAAAATGCTTAACAGGTTATTTATTCAGTTTTTCAAATGTGAATGTATGTTTTGTTACAAACATCCAAACTAAAGTCTTTGTTGGTTTTGTTACTCTGCAGTGATGTGCTTTTCCACTTTATTTTTTATCCTTTCACTGTTTCTTTACATTTGAATTTACTTTTGCTGATGTAGTTTAAATCTCTGCTTTTGCAATGTTTGCTTTTTTATGCTTTTGATTCTTTCCCAATAGCTTATATGGAATACTGTCTCTATTTTTAATCCTTGAACTACTTTTTTCTTATGAATTAATGTTATTTATTTTCCTATTTATGCGTGTTCATTTATTCTGGTATTGAGAAGGTTTTAAATTGTGTTGTGATCTACAGCTTCAGGGACAATCCTGTAACAGTGTATGCTATATGATGATTAAAAAATGTTTTTTAGCATCTGTTTCAATCTACTTGCAGTTAGATGACAAAGTGAAATGATGCGAAGGGACATTTATGTTATATTACAGAAGAACTGCATTTTTTCCATAGAGAACTGAGTACTTCTCATGTTAGTTATGACTAGTGTCACACATCCTTTATTTTCGTGGTAGCAGGTAGTTGAATCTGACTTTGGGTTCAAACTCGGCAATTGCATCTGGTGGTTTTATTTTTGACCACATAATTTCATCTTCATCTGTGGTTTTATTCTGTTTTGGTTTCTAGCGAAGGTGTAGTGAAAGACATGGAAATTTGGGAATCTTCAGGGCAATGGATTTTTTCGTCTTACTCACCGATGAAAGACAAACCAAATGTGTCAGGTAGGTAATGTTTATTGGATGTTTCCTACCCTTGTCCACTCTGCTTTACCTCTCTGGAACAATTTCAAGGTGATGATTTGCCTTGTGATGCAACAGAAAAAAATATTGGATGATGGCACATTCACTTTAGACATTCCCATCCTTGAAGTTCTCTAAGGAATCCTTTTTGTGTCCCCAGCCGAACTGACTCAGAGGTGAAGAACTAAGGCCTGTGTCTGTGTAACTACAGATGGGAAGTATGAAAATATTTTCTTGGAGGTTTTTCATTGTTCCTCTCCTTACAGGCTTCACAGATTTGTCACCAGAAGAGATGCGTCTCGAGTATTATAACTGTAGAGCAAACAATAACATTCAGAACTATGTAAGTATGTAAAAAGTGCTGACTTCTTATGCAACCAAATTTAGAGACAGGACTTTTTTCTGGTTTTCAGATGGCAGTTCTTGACTCATTTAATTATCAAACTCTAAGAGATTATCAGAATGCCATTTTTTTTTTTTTTATACAGTGCACCGAATCGAATGCAAGAATAGCTGCAAGTCTGGATGCTCTGTGGTAACATCCTGTTTCTGTGCGAGATCATGGGCTAAAAGTGTCAGATCTAAAACTGGTGGCCTAAATGTCTGAACACATCAGCTCCTACAGAAAGTGGAGGCAATAGATCTTTAGCTGGTCTCAGTTCCGTGTCTGGTCTTTCGAAAGCTAGCCACTCCTTGGCTGAGTCTTGTCCCTGCTCCTGTGTGTTATTGTGGAAGTGGCTGAATCCTGTCTCAAAACATTTAATACTTTGAATGCCCTTAAGTCAGTCTGGCTGTCGCAGCTGGGTATAGAGCACTTCAGGTAGAACACAGGGGCAGTTTGTTTGGCCTTGTCCTTTTGCTTAACCTTTATCGCAGGGAATGAATGCTGAAACTAGCAGCTGCATCTAAAGGAGTGTACAATTTCTGTAAAAGAATATATATGGGATTTTATGTGTATATTCAAAATTAAGTGTACTGTTTCTCCCTCACAGGCCTGTCAGTATTAGGGAAGCTAGCACAGTTGGGTGATGTGCCCGGAAAAAGATTAGGCTGGTGGATGGTCACAAGTGCTTTCCTTTTCCTCTTGGTGCTGTATTGCAGAAGGAATTGCTGTTGTGTCCATGCTTGCTTCACATGTTTAGAATTACCAGATTGTGGTTTTGGAGACAGGAGAGGGATTTTTTATTAAAAAAACCCCTTAAATTAAAAAAACAAATCAAAACAATTAATACACAATACCTGGCTATTAAAAAAACCCAACAACAACAAAAACCAACCCATTTGTGGGCTCAGTGAAGCATGGAGTGCAAATTCATTGAAGTCTCAGTGTATAGATGATAACTGTTTGATACAGTTCTGTCACAGCATCTCCAAGTACAACACATCTTTTCCAAAGCATGTGCTCTCAAACTGGGTCAAAATCTGAATTTTCGAATCTCTTGCATAAGAGCTGACAGCAGGCAACGTTGATCATCCAGCATTTGATTGGACACAAAAGAATTCTTGATGTTTGTGATGCAAGACCCTTTTGAAAAGTGAAGGAATTGATTTACAAACAAGATTGCTCTTTCCACTCTTGCAGGCTTTGGGACATTTTATGTTTTACTTGGCTAGTTTGCAAGGAAAATCGAATTAGGCCAGGCCTCAAAGAAGATGTGCTGATAAAGACACCTAAACGTAGGAAATTCAGGTTTGAGATTCCTGAAGAGTGACTTTCCAGTTTCTTGTGTAATACTTTAATCACGGTTATCAGACAGACACAGAGGGGCTAGTGATCGGTGTGTCTGATCTGTGCAGTGATCTGTTGGATTCGGTGAAAGGGGCTGGTTTAAATTAAGGATGTTGTGGTGTTTTTTATCTGCAAGCACCTAATTCAGAGGAAGAGAACTTCAGATTTAAAAAGCCCGAGGACATTTTGTAATCTTTTTGTTATGTGAACTAAAAAAGTTGATTTAAGGGCAATAACAGGAACATTGAAAGGAATTCTGACACAAAATTTCAGCTTTTCCCCTTGATGTTTCAGGAAAACAAAAATCTTGTCTTCTTGGCTTAACAAAGTTTCTAATTCTAGAAGTCTTTCATTCTATCTGTCAGATCACTCTTAATTTTTTTTAACTCTTCATTAATAATAAAAACATGCTTTTCTTTTCCCCCTTTTTAGATAAATTCTGTCCAACAGTTAGCAGAACAGTGGAAAAATCGTGTGCGTCAGTTGAAAGCTTTAAATGCACCAACGAAAGCAGCTCTGGTAAGTGTTAATGGAAGGTAAAATGTTTCTGTTCCTGATTGTCTTTTTTTTTTTCTTTAGATTCATGAGGGGTTGGTTTTTTTTGGTTTTTTTTTACTGACTTTATATAAATACATGAGAGGTGTTGCTTTGAAGATTCTGTTTTACAATCAACTCTACATGATTCTTTTAGTGCATTCGGGTTTGCACCTCAGTAGCTGAGACATGAGAATGTTTGATTCCTAGATTCATTGTCAATGGGATGGTTGATCTATGATCTGTTCTGAAGATGTCCGCTAGGACGGGTCATGTTCTGGCACAGCAGCCTTGAAAACCATCTGGCCTGAAAGTGTTGGGCTGGCTGGCATCACCGAGCCCTTGACAGTAACAGTAGAACGCCCCTGAGATCATTAGAAAAAGTGGAAAGGGTGTAAGGAGGGTTTCCAGAACACGGTAATGATTGCAGTTTGAAAACTGTCCCACCTCAGAGTCTGTTTTTTAACAGGTGCTAGAAACGTTGCTGAATAGTCCAGCGCTGCCTGTGTGAGGTGAATGCAAAAGTCTCTGCAGTTCTGATTCTTGTGTGCACTTTTCTCTGGAATAGAAATCAAGGACTTGCAGGCAGACGTTTTAAACCCCTTTAGTTAGCTGAGGAAAGCAACGAAGTGGGATGGTTCCAGGCAGCAGCTGGTTCCCGGGTTTGGAATATTGTCACTGCAAACCACCCAAAAAGTAACCATTGCTTGAGGCTGGGATCCGAGTGCCTGCACAGTAAGAGGCAAATACCCACCCAGCCTTTTTCTTCCATGCGCTCGTGTTGACTCTTTGAAGGAGACCAGAATTGTCCTCGAGGCCATCTTAGGAAAAATAGAGCATTTTGGTAATGGTAGAGAGGTAGGCGAGACGCTGTTTGGATAAAATTTGAAGACATAAAGAAGTTGTCCCTGAGCAGGTGACAAACACTCGTGACTTCTGAGTGTGTCAGAGAAGAACGCCTGAGTTGGAGCCAGGATTAAGTAATGGGGGGGTGGGGGGAGTGTGTGCAGAGTAAGTTGATTTCCGTGGAGTTTGCATGAAGTGCAGTGAGGTTTTAGGAATATGATTATACCCCTTGGTATGCTCAGTGCTGAAGAGGAAGAAGCGGGCTTTGGGCTCTTTGGGAAGAGGAGACGTGCTGAGGTGCAGGAAGAGACCAAGTGAAAGCAGTGACGTAGAGAGGATCATAAAGTACCAAGTGAAATAGATGAGAGATGAGACCGAGAGCTGAAAGATGTGTTCAGGTCATTGACTGAGAGCAGAAACGTGTAAAGTGTGATATATTTGTGTTTCTGGAGTATTTTCCAGGGAATGCCTTAAAGCATTTTGTTCATAGCTGCAAGAGCACGCGATGGTGACGAAAGCGATCGGTGTCTAACTTGCTCTCTGTCGTATTAAGTTGGGCTGGGCAGCTCTACTTTTGCTTCAGGCATTTATTGAAAGCTTTTTCCCTGGTTTGGAATCTAGTTCTTATTAGGCATTTGGATTTGTTTTAAGCTATCTGAACTGAGGAACGTGGGCACACAACCATTGCCTTCCTTTGGATGTGGAGGACAGCAAACACCAAGCTTTGGCCTATCAAGTAAGTTCCTGCATTAAGAACCTGAGTTCCTGAGTTTTTGTTCTTCTCCACTGTGGAGATCCAGCAGCAGTTCAGTATCACAGGTGGGGACATTGTAACGTTTTTTATAATTTATGTAATTGCAGGCTTTCCTGTGAAGAGCAGCAGCACCAGCGCGAGCAGTTTCTCCTTTAAAACAAGTTCCAGTCTCACCAGTGGATCAGCTGGAAACACCCCTGCTTTTGGGAGCTCTTCTGTTGCCAGGAATCCTCCTGCGTTCGGGGGAACATCCTCTCCTAGTGTATCCCATTCTGTTGGTCTTGGCAGCTCAGCAGCTCCATCTGCAGCCTCCTTCTCATTTAAAACTTCTGAAACTACTAGTGCGTTTGGAACTTCTGGCTTTTCAGGGTTTGGCAGTTCTGCTGCTGTGAATGCAGCAGGCAATGCTCCGCTTACAGCCTTAGCAGCTTCTAATGCAACAGTCACGAACAATACTACAACAGAGAAGTTATTTACACCAATGAGCGAATTATCTGCTGAAGAGTTGAAACAATTTGAAGCAAAGAGGTTTACGCTGGGAAAGATTCCTCTTAAGCCACCACCATTAGAACTTTTAAATGTTTAGGACTTCTAAGTTTATTCAAAAATAGCATAGTTTTGTAACTGCCTGATCCCTCAACTACCCATTTTTGTGGTTCAGTAATGAAATAAAATGCTTCTATTTTGGGTTAATTTTAATTTAATCTATAAGTCTTGTGCAGTAGTAAACTCTCAAGTGTACATCTCTGGACACTGAATTTGATAATTTTGTGGTTATTTTGGAACGCACCTTTTACATCCAAGAAAACTAATGACAATAACATTTAAAGTTCCCTTTTGCTTTCTGTGCTGTGACATGCTGGGCAAAAACGCTATCATGAAGGCTTTGTCCAAATGAAGAATGCTTCGCTGAGATTCGCAGCCTGCTGTGAGCAGAGTGCCAGCAAGAAGCGGTCGCAGCGCGAGACCGCTCCCTGTTGGTCCAGCTTGTCTTTTGCCTCTTCTTTGAAGGGTTTGTGCAGCCTCTGACAGGTGTGTCTGGAGGCACAGGGCACCTGCGTGGTCCGTGCCCAGCGACGCGCTTCTGTCTGCTGAGCGTCCGTTCCTTGTCCCAGCTGTGCCGTTGAGCCTCTGTTAGTGAGTTGTTGTGCTTGAGCTCCTAATGCAGGTGGGACTGGAATAGAGTTGGGGAGGACAGCCTCAAAAGCCTTCATTGTGTACGAGGAGTGTGTGGTTTGCTGTGGGGACACCTTTCAGATGGAACTTTGGAACTGATTGCAAACCCACTCCTTACATTTATGCGCATTGATAGGATTTTGTTGTCTTGTTCTCCAAATTCGATGTGTGCATATATTAGCTGTAACTTTTCTGAGCTGAGGATACTAATGTATCTGTTTTGCCAAGATGCTATTAAGCAGAGCTCAGAAATCTGGAGGAGGACGCATTGGAGTCAGGTGAAGAGAAATTTCTTCTTAATCAGGCTTTCCCATTAATGCCTTAAAATTACCAAACCTCCTATTTAACAGGAAAGCAAATGTTTAGTGCACAATCCTTAGAACTAAATGTATTGGTTCTTTAATGCTTAAAGATAACATTTCAGTTCTTGCTGTGGACCCCGTGGTACTACGTGAAACTTCGCTGTAGCCCTGTTTCCTTCCAGAGGAGCACAGCACCCTGGCTTGCTGAAGCATCCTGAGCCAACTGAACGTTTGGGCCGAGAGGCCGTGGGCAGGCGCTCGGCAGCCTTAATGGAAACCGCGGTGCCTCAGCCCGTGTGCTCAGGGCATGGGTGCCAGAAACCTGCCAGTGTCACGTTACAGTACCGGGGTGCTTATAGGGATTGTTCTGGGATTGTTTTGTGGGTGAAAGAAGGCATCTGGGTTTGGTTATTGTTGCAGATGACCCAGTGCAGGCTTCTTGTAACTGTCAAACCAAATGCTGATACGCTGGCCTAGAGTTCCATTTAATTCCCATGGAGTGTGATTTTTCCAAAGGGAGTCTCCAGAGCGGTACTGAGGTGCACAAATTAAGCCACGTACATCTGTCGGGGCTCACTTCGATTGCTGGATTGTTTAGGCCAGTTAATCCTCAGATTTTGACAGAGGAACATACCAAGATCTGTTATGCCACTATAGTTACAGAAAACTTCCATCTCTACAAAAGCTGTTAAACTCACTTTTGCACAAAGTTATAATTATTATTGTATTAAAGCAGCATTCTAGCATGGCAAGAGTGTATTTTGGGGTAAAGGTACAGAGTTATGTCCTGCTGATAACCTTAGGTATCCTATGGTATGTTTTACAACATACATTTAATGAATGTCCTGCCTTACGTTTACACTAGTAATAGTTTTGAACTCATCTGTGTTTTCCTCTAATCTTTTTTTTCTGAATGCTCATCCTCTTAAAGCACTACAGCTAAGGCTAGGGCTACTGCAGACAAATGCTAGTGCTGCCTTTACCAAGTTGAAGTGTCTTTATACTCAGTGCTGCTGCTGTGCCATGCGAGAGCTTAAAACATCTTGCTTTTGAACTCAAAGTGATGAGATAAAACCTTAAGTCTTTTTTAGTGTATCTCAGCAGGCTGCTGCTGCTAAGCTGTGCCAAGAACTTTCAAGGCTCAAAAATGCACAAGCACTTTAAGTGTAAGTGCTTTTGCTTGAAAAAAATAGCATAACAATTTTAAGGTCATGAAAAATCTGGATAATCTACTGTATGCACCCAAAAGAACTTTAGCTACATATTCTGAAGCATCTTTCTCATCTACAGGACCTAACAGAAGAAGGAAATTTTGATACCACCTTGTTATTAAGAAATAGGCTAAGGGAGGTATTCATAATTTAGATGGCAATAAAATTTAAAAATCATATTTGATCAAGGTTTTTTTTTCGGTAAACAAATACTTTTTTTGTTTTTTTGGTTATGGGGGGTTTTCTTAGATTTTCTCTACCCTCACTGAAAAATTTAAAAAATCACTATTACAGAGATACTGAAACTTGTTGTTTCAGCACAAATGGGGCTTTTGAGCATCTAAAAAGGTGGCAGAGAGCAGTGTGATAAGACTTAGCTAGCAAAAGGCAAGTTGTGCATTTGGCTAGAGAAGCAGAGATAAGGATAGGGTAGAATAGAAGGAAAAAATATTGCTCTAGCAGGCTTACTCAACTGCAGAAAATAAGCAACAATTTGTCAGTGGATCAAAGCAATCTGTCCCAACATTTGCATTGTATTTCTTTCTTTTGGAGAGGGGGGATGTTAATCCTGATCTGCTTTTGGTATACTTGATATCTAAGTTGGGTGCAAGTACAAAGGCAGCTAAATATCTTCTTTTAACTACAATCTTTAATTTGTCTTAACTTTTCCTTTTTGCAACTGCTTTTTTGTTTGGTATATGGCTGCTCTCCAGGAAGTCATCACATGGTAGTCTGGCATCTAAAAACAGGTACAAAGTGGCAGCAAACTCACAGATGTCAGTTCCTGTACCTTGTTTTAGAAGAGAAACATGAGGTGAAGGTCCAAGCAAAGAGGTGGAACATGTCGTGATAAGTAGAAGAACTTGCTCTGTGACATAGGCTAGAACATTCAAACTCCACGTGATGTTGCCTCACTTTGAAATAACAGGATTTTGAGTCACTGAAATTCCTGCGGTGTGGTACAAGCAACTAATTTGAAGAATGATTTGAAGTTTTGGCTTCCAAGAGATCATGGGTTAGTCCTCAGACAGAGGCACTTGAGGTGGGCCCTGTAGAGGAGAAAACTCCTCCACTGCCCCAGCAGAGGAAGCAACCCAGTGTCTAACAAAGGGAATTTTCTCTGCCCTTTTGCCTCCAGGTGAGAGTAGCAGCACTGGGAGATCTTAAAATGTGAGTTAGTAGCAGAGAAGGGGGGTGGGAAATAAAGGTGATCCCCAGAAAGCATTACAATTTTGTCTTAAAAGTTAACCATTGTAGTAACCACATGCTCTGTAGTTTCATTATATGCAGCAGCAAGCGGTCAAGGTCGCCTTACACTGAATGAGGGAAGATGGACTGCAAATACTCACCTGACTAGATTTAAGTCTCAGAGAGTAAAGCTGAGGGCATCAACAGCAATAAATTAAAACCAGCCAGAGGGATATGGAAAGAAGAGCTTTCACAAGCACATCTAGGGGAAAGGAATACAAAAGGCCTATTAATAGAGGAGCACGGAAGTGAGATTGATAACACTGAAATGGTGGAAATCTATTTTAAAAATACTTGAATTGAGGGATAATTGAAAAATCAATGAGGATGTAATGTAATGCAGTAACTGATAAAAGGCAAGTAAGAAAATATTTATGAAATGTGAGCTTACTGCAGCACAGTAGAAATCCACGTCATTCATTTGCTGTACTGGTCAGTAAGGGAATCAGCTAATGGACTTGCTATAGTTTTGATAATTATTCAGATGAGTGATAGAGCACTGGGGATGTGCTAGCAGTCTGGGGAAGTTATCTTGGCAAGCAAAGGTACTTATTTTGTTGATAGTTACAAATAATTTGAGGCAATTCCAAAGACATATCATCTGCCTTTTAGGAAGGCATTTGGTACAGACATTTAAGAGGTGTCAGATGTTTATGTAACAGTGTTTGGGGTTAGCAATAAGTCAAAAATACTGACAAGGGAGTGAATGCTTTTTATTTATAGTCCATTTCCCATGTCCTAATGTAGAGGATAGAGAGAAACTGTAATTTGATATTTACCTGGACAATAGTGGAGGAAGAAAGCCATGGGTTGTATTTAGACGATTTAAGTATATTTAATTGTATTTGACCTAATATAAGCCAGCAGCTGAAGGAAAAAAATCTGTACTACTCTTATTCAGAGAGGCACGGAAGATTGTAGAGTTGAAATCTACTGACAGTAAGTGAGATATGAAGCCACAGTGGTTTAGATCAGTAAAATGTCATTTGAGCTGTACGGATCTTCACCTGTGGTAATGCCATGCTTGGTTCTGAGCACGCAGTTGACAGAGAGCAGCATGACAAGTAGAAGGAGATTGAGAGAGCAAGAAAAGCGACTGGAAATGAGGATTTAGGAGGACACTTAAGAGCTGAACACTTACTGCCTGGTGAAAGCAGAGGCTGTGGCATGGGACGACCATCTTATTGAAAGACTACGTTCTCAGAAAGGAGGAAACAGGATTTTTTAAGGCATCCTGCTTGACTCGTGATCAGAATATTGTGGTACTTCCTCAGAGATGTCTTAGGAAGTATCTCACCTGAGAAAGTCCTTTTCTTCGTCAGTTAAGAGCTGGCCAAGCCAAGAACAAACCACTAGATACAAATCCCTGCCTCTCAGGACTAACAGTACACGTCCTCAGAGCTGCTCCCTTGCTTTTAAACCTAAATAAGCTGTTGCTCGTGAAGACAGCGATGACAGTGTGACACTGAGCATCTGGGGCAGGCAGTGGTATGTGCCCGCCATGCTCCTGGGAGTGATTTAGGGCCTGGCCATAAGAAGGGAACATCTCTCCATTCAGTGTAAGAACAGATGAGCCCCCTAATACTGGGAACGAGTACACCTCTTGGTCTTGAAACTCTCACCTGCAATTGCCTGGTTTGCCTGTTAGG